CCCCCCAACTCACTTTTGTTTCCATTTCTGGGGCCTGAGGCAGTGAGGTGTCCCTGATTACCAGGCCTGGAGAGGAATTGTGCCTGACCAAAATGCGAACTAGCATTGTACATGGAGTTTATTACGCACTAAAGAACTGCAGGATCACAAATACAGAAAACCAGAAAAGCCGGAATCCCAAGGCATCACGGGGACAGCGTATTTTGTGGGAGTTTGCTCTGCGGAGCGATGAGGGACGCGGAGGCAGTGAGGGCCCCTCAGGGCCGCCTCAGCTTTCCCGCGCGCGGGCCCGCAGCGGGGCTCTGAGGGGGTGGGGGGGCTGCTGCCGCTGCTGCAGGTCGGGGCCGGGCCGGGCCGGGCCGGGCCGGGGGGGAGCGAACCGGGCCGGGCCGGGGGAGGGGAGCGAACCGGGCCGGGGGCGGCCAACCGCAGCGCCGCGCCTCACCCGCCCCCCGCTGTGTGTCTGCCGCAGCACCGGCGGAGCGGGCGGCGGCGCGATGGCCTCCAGCAGCGGCACCGACGTGATCCAGGTCACCAACGTCTCGCCCAGCGCCAGCTCGGAGCAGATGCGGACCCTCTTCGGCTTCCTGGGCAAGATCGAGGAGCTGCGCCTCTTCCCCCCCGAGTGAGTGCGGGCCCGGCCCGGCCTCGCCGCCTCCCCCTCCGTCCCTCCCCCCGCGCCCTGCCCGCGGCCCGGCGCCGCCTCCCGGCAGCTCCCGGCCCGGCCGCCGCCGCTGCCGGCCCGGGCCGCGCTCCCCCCGGGCCCGTGCGCCCTGCGCGGCCCTGCTCGCTCGCGGGGATTAGTGCGGGGCGTGCGGCGGCGGGGAAACCACGTTTGTCTCCGGGAGTTGTTTGTCCCGGGTTGCGCAGCTGAGCCTCGGCTGCCTGCGTCACCTGCACGGCGCCAAAACTTCTGGGTGCGCGGAAATGCGTTTGTTACAAAGAATTTTTTGCTAGAAGAGCAGCCTACCCCTAGTGTGCAAAAAAATACACTTTTAATATCTGTGCGGCCGCCCCCGCCGCCGCTGCCGGCGATGGCTGCGGCCCGGGCCGCGCTCCCCCCGGGCCCGTGCGCCCTGCGCGGCCCTGCTCGCTCGCGGGGATTAGTGCGGGGCGTGCGGCGGCGGGGAAACCACGTTTGTCTCCGGGAGTTGTTTGTCCCGGGTTGCGCAGCTGAGCCTCGGCTGCCTGCGTCACCTGCACGGCGCCAAAACTTCTGGGTGCGCGGAAATGCGTTTGTTACAAAGAATTTTTTGCTAGAAGAGCAGCCTACCCCTAGTGTGCAAAAAAATACACTTTTAATATCTGTGTTCCTTGCAAACGAATCTGTGCTGAGCGGAAAGGAAACCGCTAACAGACAAATACACATTTGGCAGTTGCACGTCTTGCAGGGAATTCTGTGCAAATTAAAACAAATAATGCACATTTCTAGTGTGTATATAACTGAAAAGAAAGTTTCAGGTACCCCTGCAATTTACAAATAGTCACCAAAAAAGAAAAAAAGACAGTTTCTATGTATTCACTTGCAATTAAGTTCTAATGAACATAAACAGTGCTTTCAGAATCCTTTCTGATGCAATATAAAACCTGACGGTTTCATTTGATTGATTTATAGAGCCTGGTGTCATTATGTGTTGGTGTTTTGCATATTCATTATGTAAATTAAAGGTTTTCTTTCTTCCACGTTGAAGATTAATCAATCAATTGTTTGTAATACCCAAAATTACTTGGGTTTATTATTTTAGGGGGAAGAAAGTATAGCAGAATGTTTGTTTTTCCTCATCGAGGCTTCCACCCCTGCTAGCACAAACCAAAGCGAGTTCCAGAGGGAGTTTCTTGTTCCCAGCTGGGATAACTGGCACGGCAGGGGCTCACCTGTGGCAGGTGCAGTCCTTTCCTGGCCTGCTCTGTGTTTGAACGCTTGGTCTGGTTTTCCAGGGCAGTTGTTGGAGGTGATTGGTCTCTGAAACTTTGTAGCTTTAGATGCACGTTAACTCATCTGTTGAGGGATTGCTGCAGTGCCTCGGTGTCCCTTCCCTTGTGTGAGGAGCTCGGCCCCAGGGGGTTTTCCCTGGGCTGATGGGAATCCGCTCTGGGTCACTTCAGGGCTCCCAGTTGCACTTCACCCCAAAGAAAGGGACATTTTCTGGTAGTGCCACGTTCTTTTTCTGCCTCTTCTCCCTCAGATTCCAGCTCCTGACTTCTCCCTGCCCATGGTGCCCATCCATTATGGAGGGGTATGGGATAGAAATCATAATCTGTGAATTCTCCCCATAATCTGGGTTCCTTTCTGGATCCTGCTGGGATTCTCCCTTGCCTGTAGTATTTGAGGAGCCAATCCCGTTTCCTTTGCTCCACCTCCTTGTTTGATCTGTGTCACTCTGACTCTGCTGTAGAGCTTCCTTATTCTCCTGCTCTTCCAGAACACGTGTAACTTCTGAGCTTCTCTCAATTCCTGTTTTTCCTCCTCTCCCCTCATCCACCTCCTTTTCCCAGTTTATTTAATCCCCTGTTTCCCATTTATTGTACACCTCAGCTGCACCTTTAATGCACAGCCAGCTCTGGGACTTCTTCCAATTTTCCTCCCCCTCCTCCTCCTGCTTTTCCCCGACTCCATTGCCTGGTTCTCATCTTTATTATATTCCATAAAACTCCATCCAGACTGGAAAGTGGAGGGAGTGGATTTCTGAGCTTCCTGTATTGCAGCCCCAGGAAATCCTTGTGTGTCCCAGCATTCCAGTGGCTGAGGGACAATTCCTGAATGCTTCAGTCTTGGGTGAATTAGAATAATGATGGATGGTGGCTTTTTTTGGGAGCTGTTGAGAACATCCAGTTCTTGTTGAATTTCACCCAGCTTGGATTTGAGAGTGAGTGGAAATACCATTTTTTAAAGTGCAATACACAGATGTAAATTAAATGTCAGGCTGCAGAAGCATTGCCTAACACATTTTCAGTTGTTATTTTAGGTTCATTATTTTGGGAGAAAGCTCAGCTACCCCAAAGCATTCCCAGTGGCACTCCTGGCTGTAAACAGGATCTGCTGAAGAGTCAACAGGATCTGCTCTGCTTCACATTCCTTTGTTATCACTGGCATTTTAAAGATGCCTCAAAATACCTGGCTGCATTTCTGTAATGAATTGTATAATTTTTATACAATTTAGTTTAGGAACTCCTTCAGCTCTGCCATCAACCCTTGATTTACTTTCCTTTACAATTTGATTTTGTTAAATACCTTCCACTAACACTTCTTTGGGTTTATGTTATTATTATTTTTTTATTTCTCGTTATTTCTTATTATTAATTATTACTTAGGAGCTAAAAAAGGCACCATTTTGGCAAGCTGCTATGGATTCCTGGGCACAAAAGAGCCAACAGATTCAATTTTTTTTTTCTCATTTATCACTGCAGTTATTTCCCAATTTATTCAGTCTGCAATCTGTGGGAGCAAGTGGCTGTTTCTAATTTTAATGTTTCAGAAGCTGCAATGTGCTGGCTGCAATTTAGTTTTCCACACCAGGTGAAATGTAAGGTTACTGAAGTGTGGTGTGACTGGCACTGGGGGCAGTTGTGTGTGTTGGGCCCAGTGGGGCTGAAGGTGAGGGAGCTTTTGGCATTTGCAGTGCCCAAAATAGACCCTGGATCTGTCTGCTCGTGTCGGAGCTGTTCCCTGAATTCTGACAGCCCCCGGTGCTGAAAGGCTTGATCAGCCTCAGCAGCCCAGATCAAACTGCTCTGGAGCTGGGATGCCTTTGAAGTCAGTTGTTTTGGAGTTGGGCTGGGAATGCAGGTAGGAAAAGCAGCTTTTTGTCAGGATCGGTGATGTTTTCAGAGCTCCCCAGGCTGATCTGGACCTCTGGCCTGGTGTAGGAACAAGGGATTTAGGATTTGCTGCTGCTTCCACTCCCTGCCTGGGTCTTCTGGAGGCAGCTTTTAACTCCTCTGTCCCACTGTTCTGTCTGTAGAAGAATTTTCCTTCCTGTCTTTCACTTCACATCCAATTACAGCAAAATCTGCCCCACTTTCAGGACAGGGGGGCTCTTAAAACCCATCCTGGACCTTGCCTGGATTGACTGCAGCTGGTTTTTTTCATTTTGGTTTGATTTTAGGGAAGTTACAGCTGTAGTTCTACCATTCTTTCCTATTATAGGAAGTAGATATTTCTGGTTGGTTTTTCTTCAAAGTGGCTCAGAACTTCTCAGTTTTGGGTTTGTGGGTTGACAGACACAGGCCTGCCTTGGAGAGAGGTCTGTTTTACCGTGCTCAGCTTTCCTCCTGCCGAGCTCCTTACGTTTCCTTGTGTTTGTTCTTCCCTGCTGAAGACAGGCAGGAGCTCGGCACTGGCCATTCCTCAGGATGTGGGAGCATGGTGAAGCTTAGCCTCGAAGCTGGGATGGAATTGGGTTGATGAATAAAACAGAATCCCAGACTGGTTTGGGTTGGGAGCGACCTTAGAGCTCATCCAGTGCCACCCCTGCCATGGGCACACCCCTTCCACTGTCCAGGCTGCTCCTGCCTGGCCTTGGACACTGCAGGGATCATGGGGCAGCCACAGCTTCTCTGGGCATTCTATTCCAGGGCCTCAGCACCCTCCCAGCCAGGAATTCCTTCCCAGTATCCCATCCCTGCCTGCCCTCTGTCAGGTCAAAGCCTTCACCCCGCACCCTGCCCCTACGTGCCCTTGTCCCGAGCCACAAGGATCCTTTAATCATCACCCTCTTCGTTTCACAGTTTACCTTAATCAGTCATCTGGGGCCTAAAGCAGTGAGTGTGACACCACAGGCTTTAACTGAGACAGAACTGGTCACTTTTTCTCCTTTTTCAGCCAAGTTTTCTTCCCAGCCAGGGCGGAATTTGCATTTAGGTGAGCGCTCATGGATTCCTTGTGCCTAACGGCGCTCGCGTGCAGCTCCAAGCGAGGGGTATGGAGCTGGTGTGTTTTTGGGGTGGATGGGCACTGCTCCCTGCTGTCCCTGAGTGCTGGCTCTGTCTCTTGCAGTGACTCCCCCTTGCCGGTGTCGTCGCGCGTGTGCTTTGTAAAGTTCCACGACCCCGACTCGGCCGTGGTGGCCCAGCACCTGACAAACACTGTGTTCGTTGACAGAGCCCTCATAGTCGTTCCCTATGCTGAAGGTTTGTAACTTGTTTGATGTTCTATGGGGCCACCCTTGGGTGGTGGTTGGTTCCTGTCTAGTGCACAGATTTTAACAGTAGTCCTATGTCAAACATATGTCAGAGATTGCCATTCTGAAACCCTTGGTATATTGCCTTTGGCCCCTGCGTTTGGTCAGTTTGTTTCCATAGTGGCGCCAAATCGAAGTGGAAAGTTCTGTGTGTCTTGAAGTGTAGAATAAGAACATTTTAGGCAGAATTCTATGCCAATTTTGCTCCGTGTCAGTCTCAGTGAGACATTTTCCCAAACAGATTGTAATGCAAACAGGTCAATATTTTAAGGAAATTTTACCTTAATGATTGTTTGCCACTTTCACTCTCTTCATGAGGACGGTTTCTCCCTCCCTGAGAGTGCATGGGAGAGGAATGAACATTCCTTTGGCCTATGCTGCCACTGCATTTATTTGGGAACATCCCCAAAAAAAGGCCCTCACTCTCCTTGTGGAGTCCAGTATACCAAGGGTTTGAATAATTATGGTTTAATTCAAAAGTGACAACTTCCAAGAGGTGCCACATGGGCACTGGTCCTAGTTTTTAATTCCAAGTTTTCTTGTTCATCCTTGATATATTTAATAGAATTTCACTAAATAATAAACTCTTCTCTCTGTTATTTGTGTGTGTGATTTTTGTAGTGGAGAAGGCAAATGCAAAGCCCTTCCAGATGACTGAAAAACAGTGGGTCCTCTGCAGCTACAGGGGATTCTAGCCATTAACTAAAGGCCAGCAAGCACTCAAGTCCCCAAGTGTTTTCCTGGTGTAACCACTTGTTAACTACATTTTCTCTTCTTCTTTTTATTTTTACATTTTAGGGTGTTACAGTAATTTGAAAGGCAATGAGCAGGGTTTTTGGAACTTACCTTAAAAGCAAAGTGCTGAGAAGACACCTCTTCTTACAGAAGTCTTATTAAACTCTTCTAGACTTGCTTTAGAAGTAACTGATTTCCATTGTACTTGTGCATTTCTTGATTTACTTCTGGGAAAGGTTGAATTGAATAAAATCTTGCAGATTAAGTCATACTACAGTGCTAAGTTGGGTACATGGCCTGGGGTCACACCTGTAATCTGTCATGCTGCAGCTGTCTCTTGAGGCCTGGGGAGCTGTCTTATCTTATCTTTGTATTCCTTAAGCTTAAAAGATACAAAACTTAAAAGATGTCCAGCCTAATTCCTGGAGTGTAGGAATGTGCAGTGTGCCCTCTGACTGAGCCCTGCTGCTTCCTGAGGGCACAGAACCCCTTCTGCAATGGAGTTACTGCTCCTGCAGCCCCTGCTTGAGAACAGCAGAGCTGAGAGGCTTCTTGTCCCTGTGTGGCTGTTAAACACAGCACCAGTCCAGTGAGATTGTGCTGGAATATTCTCCAAGGCCCATGGGGATAATCCCAGTGTTTGACTCTTCCTATAAGGATAAACCCACTTTTCTCTTTGTCACTGTGGATCATCCACTTTTTGTCCACTATGGATAAACCTGGCACGCAGAGAAACCTGCCCAGCAGCTGAGCTTCAGAAAATCCAGTTACTAAAGTAGAATATTTTCCTGGGCCTGTTAAGGAGTCACTCCTGGGCTGTACCTTGTGTTGTCTAACAGTTCAGAGTTTAATGGCCTTGGCACATCGTAAGAGAGATGTTCAGCCAATAAAGAATTGCCCCTGGGTTGGCAATCCCATACTTCTGTCCCTGTGCTGGAGTAGTTTTCCCCCAAAATTCAGCCTGCCAGGGTCCCAGTCCAAGCAGGAGCAGCATTTCCCCAGCCCACAGTGCCACTGCTGATGTGCTTAAAGCCAGGCCTGTGCTGAGTGGGGCCCTCCTCTGTGATTTCTGCTGTGCTAATGAACCTGTGTGATTATTGCCTGTCACTAAAGCAAATGTTTATTATCTGTTTAGTGCAATAATTCCCCCCCTGTCCCAAGTTTTAGCTCACACAGACACTTTGGTGTTGGCTGTTGCTTTGTGTTATAGAACTATACACAAAGGCTACGGTAAGGTTTAGTATTTGTCATTTTCTCTGGGCTAATTCCTGGATTTGGAAGGAACTCTTAAGGTTAAAGATGGCTGGGGGGGGTGTTTAGGTTCTTTGGTTAATGTTTGTTTCTTTTGTCTGTTTCTTTTTCTTTCATTTCTACACATTCATGCAGTATTTCATGGTTCTAACAAAGCAGCAGTAAAAAAAGCTCTTGAAGCATGAAAATTAACTGGTGAGGGGCCTCATTGCTTTTTTTAAATTGTAGTTTATTTAAATACTTTTTAAAGAAACAATTAGAGGATCAGATGCATGAATTTTTTTAATGGATGCAGATCTTCTGTGAGGTGTCTCGAGCTGAGGATTTGTATTTAGATGCCAGAAATGTTGTAGTTGCACTAATTTGAAATGTTTAGCTGTAATTGATAAATATCCTCTTGAGACATAATTTTGCATGCCAAATGACCCCATAATCTCTCTGTAGGTATGTTGATATATTTATGCATTCCTGCCCTTTGCCTCCATGACCTTTTTCCCTGTCCCTCCATAACTTTGGGTATCTAAAGTGCTGCCAGCTCAGTGCCACGAGCCAGATATCAGTGCTGTGTATTGTACATTTGTGTAGATTATCGGCACTTCTCAGTATAGGTGGGAGGAACCATTACCTTTATTTAACAGTGGTTTTTCTTTTTTGTTGTTGTGTTTTACAGTTCTTTTCCCTGGTTCAGCCTGAACTATATACCAGGCCCTGCTGAAAATACCACCCAACAGTTTTCTTCTGCAGCTTATCCAGTTTCTCTTAAGTGCCCTGTACATATTGTATGTTTTATGATGAGATGCAGTTTCTTAATATGTATTACAGAAACACTACTGGTATTTGCAACTATGTAGTAAAATTGTTTTATTGAACTCTCATTTTGGGGGCTTGGGCACATTAACAAATTAATCCACCTGTATAGGGCTTTTGCTGTTGGATAGAGTAAAACTCCCTCCACAAGTGTTTGCTAGTAGGGCCCTGAGCACTCTGTGTGCAGAGCAGGCAGTGCAGCGAGCCCTGGGCTTGCCTGGCTGCAAGGCTTTGGGCCACGAGTCCCCTGTGCCACGGCAGGTGGCAGCAGCATTGTCGGTGCTCTAAGCTGGCACATATTGGAACAAAAGCATTTTACTGCACAGGTAAGGAATGTGCCAGCATCCCTGTGTGTATCCCAGCCACAGACACACCCCCAGCATTCCCGGAGAGCCGCAGGGACCGCATTCCATGTGACACGTCAGCAAAAGCCCTACCCAAAACACCCATCCCTTCTCTTTTAAGTTTGCCAAAATTTGTATGGTAGGTGTAAAAGAAAACATAGTGAACTGTACCATATTATTAACCCCTAAATCCAACTTTTTTTGTCTTGTGTATCTTGATTTTTCTGTGTGCTTTGTAGTGAAGCAGCCGACACGAGTCGTTGTTCATAAAACAGCTTTTGAAAGTTGAGAGCACTCTCACCCCTGGAGAACCGACTGTGCTTGCTTACGTTTGGTTCATGACTTAAAAATCGAGTACAGGTGATGAAACCTTGGCAGTGTTAACAACAAAGTAGTGTGTATTGTGCTATTTTTTTGCTCTAGAAACTTAACCTTTTGTAGAGAAAAAGGAACAGTCAAATTGTCACCCATTGAAGTTGCATTCTGACAAAAAAAGTTAATGCTAAATATTAATAGCCATCAAGCTTTGTATTTTAGCCAACATAAGTACTTTCAACAAACTCAGGTGGTGTATCAGGGAGACTTTGCTGGGTGTATTTGTGTATTTGGTGCCTCTGGGCTGGGATGCACTCTAATGCCAGGCTGTTTCCCTGCAGGAGTCATTCCTGATGAGACTAAGGCTTTGTCTCTCTTGGCACCAGCTAATGCCGTGGCAGGGCTGCTGCCCGGGGGTGGCCTGCTGCCCACTCCCAACCCTCTCTCTCAGGTAGGCTGGGAACCCCTGGGTGTCTTCTGCTGCATTCCCACTTCATTCCTGCTCTTTCTTTCAGGACTGAAATTGATTCCAGTTCCTAGAGTGGTTAATCGACCCTGGTGGATTGGGACAGCTCTGATGTGAATTGGGGCATGACAGTGACAAGTTGTTAGATGGAATATCCTCATTTCCCTATTTCCTGGTTTCTCAGGGCCCTCTTGGTGCCTCCCACCCCTCTCACCCGCTGTGCTTTACAGATGTGACAAGCAGTAGAGGTCTCACAGATTTTAAATTCCTCAAGTCCAAGGAGCTGCCACACTGTGAGATTCCCTTCATTAATCCTCCAGCTGAGGGGAAAATTGGAGCCTGGTTGTGTGAACCCGCAGGAATTCATGTGGAACGTGAACAGTGAGAATTGCACATTGTGGGAGAAGCTGGAGTCACAGCCCAGCTCTTACCAGGGCACAGAATCAAAGTGCAGGAGGCAAATTAATCATAATAAAGCCTCTTGAATTCTGCTCTCCTCAAACCCTCCCCAGCTCCTGCTTAGTTGAAGGGCCCCCTGACCATGGAGCTGCTCAGGAGGAAAGAGCCTAAACTTAACCTTTGAAACCCAGGGAAGGGGTTGGAAGGACCAAATACAACCCAAAAGATTTCACTCCCTGAAAATCTGTGCATGTGAGTCCTGGAAGTGGATGTTGAGCCACCTGAGTTGCTGCTGTGTCCGAGCCCAGGCTGCTCCCAGCCCCTCTGGTGGGATGTGTTCAGCACATCTTGGCAGTGTGGGTTGGGTCTGGGTGTCTGTCTCAGTCACCTCATTGGAAATGGCCCAAAATGAGCTGCTTTAGGGAGCATCCTGCTCTCCCAGTAGCTTTTTCACCAAATTGGAGATGTTTGCAGGGATGCAATGTTGTTAAATTGCCTTTCAACAAACCATGGCCGTCTCAGCCCTAAAACGAATTAGAAATGGAGCAATAGCCTCAAAAACTTGGAGTGAATTTCCATTTTAGCACTGAAAAATAACTTCATTTTCAACTATCCCTTCAATTTGCTGGAATGCTTTACTCCTTCACCTTTATTTCCCCTGCCCAGTGATGTCCCTGGCTGATTTTTGTCCCTGTCTGTGCCCTAACTGCTGTCTCTGCCACAGATTGGTGCTGTTCCTTTAGCTGCTTTAGGAGCTCCTGCTCTCGACCCTGCCCTTGCTGCTCTTGGGCTTCCTGGAGCAAACCTGAACTCCCAGGTACGTCCTCATTCCAAAATATCCTTTAATGCCCCTCTCTTTCCTGCTCCAAGAGTGGTTTTCATTTGTATCTCTTCACAGCCACTGCCTGGGAACTCCAGGGATTGGTTTCTGCTTGGGATAAAAAAATATCTGCTTGAATATCAAATTAAATGTTGGAAGGGGCCAAGGAATAATTTGGGAATAGCAATTAAATGTTTCAAATATGTGTCATTATCAGGCCAGGAACCTGCCTTGTTCTTCAAGTCAAAAGTAGTTTGACTTTAATTTTGTCGGTGTCAAAAATGTGAGGAAACTTCATTAGGTTGTTACAGCTGAACAAAAAAGGCTTTTAAGTACTGAGTACTAGATTATTTAGTATATTAGTATCAATAAAAATATATCAATATAAATATACGGCTCATATCTATATAGATAAAATATTTAAGAGGTAAGAACAAAGCACTCTTTTACAGCAACAAGAAGCAGCAATAATTTAATGCATTGCTACTGCCATCACTTAAATTTTTTATGTATTCCCATGTGGAAGAACAAGCAAATGATGGTGAAAATTAAATAACAAATGAAAAAAAAAATTAAAATAATTTAAAGGCAAATTAGAAAAATGTAAATTTGGGGTTATAGAGGATTTTTGTACATTAAACCATCAGATTGTAAGAAATATTTCATAAATGAAAGTTGGGGTTCATTGTAAAAAAAAAAAGAGGATTAAACGTTTTTTTCTTAATACCCCATTTGTGCAGGAGATGTCTGATCATAATACCTGGATTATCCTAAGAGCTGTACAATTAATTTTCTCAAGGAATATTTAGATGTTTGTAAGTTGGCATTGAGGTCTTCAGTGGACAGACAGCTCAGAGAGGGCTCTGTTCTCTTGCAGTGACAGAAATATCCTGCACAAAAAGTTACCAGTACATCACGATGAACACACCCCAGCAGTGTATTTTTATCTGTTGGTATTTTTATCCATTTGTGGTTTTATCCATTTGTGGGTTTATCCCTGATCCTGCCCAGGCAGGGCTGGCTTTGGCTGCTGTGGAAAATAAATCCCCTGAGCCCCAGTGTGGGATGTTCACACCCTCCAGTGTGGCCTTTCCTCTTTGCTGGGGGGTGTTCTGCTCTCGTTTTCCAGCTGGGAATACTTCCAGGGGACATTCCAAGGGAGGTTCTCTGGAGCTCTCACATCTCCCAGCCTGGTTCTAACTTTGTTTTTCCCTCACAGTCTCTCGCAGCAGATCAGCTCCTAAAACTGATGAGCACAGTGGATCCAAAGTAAGCACCAGTGTTCCCAAACCCTTGTGCTGCACTGCTGGGGAATTCCCTGGGGATTCAGTGCCCAGTCCCTGTCCTGCTGGAGCTGATGCCAGCTTGGGAGGGCCTTGGAGCACCCTAGGCTGGGGAAGGTTCCCTGCCCTTGGCAGGGGCTGGGATGAGATGGGCTAGATGTCCCTCCAAACCAAAACCATTCCAGGATTCCCTGCCCCTGTGAACTGGCTGAGTCTGACAATGCAGACCTGTATCCCTTGGAGTCCTGAACTTTGGAATTTTGTGTTGCCCAGGTTGAACCATGTGGCTGCAGGTCTCGTGTCCCCCAGTCTGAAATCAGATACCTCCAGTAAAGAAATAGAAGAGGCCATGAAGAGAGTCCGAGAAGCACAGTCCTTAATCTCTGCTGCTATAGAGCCAGGTAATTCCAGCCTGGAATGGGCCATTCCAGCCAGCATGGGGCTTGGACACAGCACCTGGTCAACACTGATGGTCTGCAGAGCCCTGCCTTCGTGCCTGTGAAGAGAATTCCCTTATCAGGTTTTTAATCATCCTGCAGTGGATGCTCTGTGTGTCCTGCAGAAATGGGCTGGAATTAATGCATTGATTTTCCCAAAATTCACTGATTTGAGGGCTGTAAAACACTCAGGCTTCCCTGAGGGAAGTTCTGCTGCTGTCTCAAATTCCAAGGGAATGTGGATTTCGTGGCCTCACCACTTGGCACCCTGCTGATGCTTCTCAGGGAATGCTTTCCCTCATCTTCATTCCTGATCTGGGCAGGTTTGTAAATAATTCTCTTTTTTGGAGCTTCTTTCAGCAGGTTTGATTTTAGAACAAATGTCAGAGCCACCAAATCTGAGGGGCAGAAGCCTGAACACTGAAAATACAGAATATTCATCAGCTCTGCAGCCTGATGATTTCTAGGAAAGAACAGAGCTCCTGTTCTTGCTTAGCTTGAGGCTTTTTTGTGGGAAATTCAAAACAATCATTTGACAGGTTCTTCAGCCCCTCAGGAAATGGCAGATTCTGGGATTTTCACAGGATTTTCCATTGCCCTGCAGCCATCAGCTTTTCACTGACTTAAATTAAGGTTTTTTTTCTGAATTTTGACTTCTCCAGGTTTGCATAAAACTTCTATTTTATGTCACAAACATGTCCCTGTCTTTTGTTGGTTGTTTTTGTCTTCTTGTGAAGAAAATTATAGATGAGCCTTCATGTCAAGTGGCAAGATCAGGTTGATTTATATCAATTACATGAAGCTCCAGGTCCTTTCCTTTAGAAAATCGTTTGGAATATTAAAACAAAACATTGGTTTTTATTGTGCTTTTCCTTTTCCAGACAAAAAAGATGAAAAACGAAGACATTCGAGGTCGAGGTCACGCTCGAGGAGGAGGAGGACACCTTCCTCATCCAGACACAGGTGACTGAGCAATTCCTTAGAAACACCTCCCACAGCAAGAACAACTCCTGCAGAAATCATTCTGGGGGAGAGCCTTGGGTTTGATGTAGGGCTCCAAAGCTTTAGAGCCATTTCAGCGTGCAGGGCTCCTGTGGGGGCCAGGCAGAGCTGCGGATGGAGCCTTTGGCCGGGTTTTGGGGGGTTCCCTGCCCTGAGGGCTGGGCTGGGAGCAGCCCAAGGTGTCCTTCCCGTGACTCCATGTTGGTGTGTCCCTGGCAGACGCTCCAGGAGCAGATCAAGGAGAAGGTCCCATTCCAAATCCAGAAGCAGGAGGCGATCCAAAAGTCCGAGGAGAAGGAGATCTCATTCCAGAGAGAGGAGCAGGAGGTCTCGGAGCACATCCAAAACCAGGTGATGACTCCAGGGAGTCCAGTCCTGAGCAGGGCAGGGATTGTCCCCTGTGCTGGCTGTGTCCAGCTCTGGGCCCTCACTTCAGAGAGGGGCTGGAGCACCTGGGGGGCTCAGCCTGGGGAGCCACCCCTGCCCCTCCCAGCTCTGCATCCCTGTCCCTGCACAGCAGATTAGGATGTGCTGTTTGAAAGTGACTTAATCTCTTTTCTACTTAAAAGGGATAAAAAGAAGGAAGAGAAAGAAAAGAAACGTTCTAAAACTCCCCCCAAAAGCTACAGCACAACCAGAAGATCCAGAAGCACAAGCAGGTACAGAAATGGGATTTTCCTTGCTCTCTGTGCCCAGCAGGATTTTGATGCACTTCAATCCATATTAAATAGAAATATTGTGATAGAGCAGCTGGTCTGTGGAAGGTGTCCCTGCCCATGGAAGGAGCTGGGACTTGAGGTCCCTTCCAGCCCAGACTGTGCCTGGATCCCATTGGATCACGATTCCAATGAGGATGTGTCTGGTACAGGTACAACAGCACCTGTCCCACCTGTGTCTATAAGATGCTTGCATTCTCCTGCAGCTTTTGAGGTAAATTCGTTGGGTTTACAACAGTTTTTCTTGCTCTGTGTCCGAATTTGCTGCTCCAGGGTCACTGCCAAGCTCTTCCTGATTTAGGGAATAAATCCAGGCAAAAAAGTTTCATTTTAAAAAAAAAAAACTTCCAAATTTAGCTTGCAGTTTTAACAACTCTTTAGTACCCTGTGAGCAGGGTTAGGGTTGGAGTTAGGGATGCATTTGTGGCTTTAAAAAAACAAGCAGTGATTTCCAAAGCTCCTGTGTCTCCCTGCAGAGAACGGCGGCGCCGGCGGAGCCGGAGCGGGACGCGGTCCCCGAAAAAGCCCAGGTCTCCCAAACGGAAAATGTCCCGGTCTCCATCACCCAGAAGGTCAGGGAAACACTTGCCTGGGAAGAACGGTGTCTGGGTGGGAAATTCCCAAATTGTGACCTCCAGGGAGGCTCCCAGGGGATTCTGTGGGGTGGAAATCTTTGCTGCTTTTGCGGAGCTGCTCTGGGGTTGGCTGGGAGCTCCGAGGGTCAGGGGTTCCAGGGGTGGTAGGAGTAGGATGTGCCACCATTCCCAGTCCCTTTGGCTCTGCGCAGTAGGAATCAGCTGATTTTGGGTGGCCTGGGTGCTTTGTGACCCTGTCCCAGGGTGGGGAGCTCAAGGTGCTCCTCTGTAAAACACGGGAGCACTGCTGTTTGTGCTGTCCACAATTTGGACTCCATGATCCCTGTGGGGCCCTTCAGCTCAGGAGATTCCATGGTTCTGTTTGCCACAGCATTGCTCAGCCTTGGCTTTGTGGTGCTGTCCTTGAGCCGGAGTTAAGTTGGGATTTTGGGTATTTCCTGGAAGCAGAGCCTGTTCCCTACTTGCCCTCTCCCATTTTCCTTTGGGTTTGCTGTGGGTAATGCTCTGGACACAGCTCCAGCCATGGAATGGGGTGATGGGGACGGGCCTCATCCTCTTCCTGCTGATCCTCATAGGCATAAAAAGTCGGGATTTTGGGTATTTCCTGGAAGCAGAGCCTGTTCCCTACTTGCCCTCTCCCATTTTCCTTTGGGTTTGCTGTGGGTAATGCTCTGGACACAGCTCCAGCCATGGAATGGGGTGATGGGGACGGGCCTCATCCTCTTCCTGCTGATCCTCATAGGCATAAAAAGGAAAAGAAGAAGGATAAAGACAAGGAGAGGAGCAGAGACGAGAGAGAGCGGTCAACGAGCAAGAAAAAGAAGAGCAAAGACAAGGAGAAGGATCGAGACCGGAAATCCGAGAGCGACAAGGATGTGAAAGTATGTTCCAAAAAGCCCTGGAGCTGCTCCCAGCCCTGCCCCACATCCCCCCCGCCCCGGCCCACAGGGAAGTGCTAACGTGTCCCTTTCCCTGGCAAAGCAGGTCACAAGGGACTACGACGAGGAGGAACAGGGCTACGACAGCGAGAAGGAGAAGAAGGAGGAGAAGAAGGTGGCGGATGCTCCCTCCCCCAAAGGGAAGGAGCCCGGAGCCGAGAAGGGCAGCGGGGATCCGGGCAGGGAATCCAAGGTGAACGGGGACGACCACCACGAGGAGGACATGGACATGAGCGACTGAGCCGCCCACAGCCCCTCCAGTGTGATCCTTTATGCTGTACTTGTTAATCCTCAACCTAGATGTATCCAGCTCCGAGCTCTCCATGGTCTGTCCATCCCGATACTAACTCACACCCAAAGCTTGAGACAGGGATCCCCTGCTCCGGGGCCCAGCTGGGGCCGGGCCAGGCTGCAGGTCCCCCCTCCCTCCCTCCCTGCTTCCCTCCCTCCGGAGTGTCCCGGGCTGAGCCAGCAGGGCCCAGCAGTGTGGCAGTGTCCCAGGAGCGTGGGGAGCGTGGCATGGCCCCCTTGTCCTGTGGGAATGCCCTGGGAGTGTGGCACAGCCCTCCTGCCTGCAGCCACCGAGGGGCTGCCGGGGGCCTCCCGGGCACTCCGGAGCCGGCCTTGGATCGCACCAGCTCTTTGTGCTCTTGGCTTTAGTTCTGGTTTTAAGCCATGTGCTGGGCTTGGTTGGGTTTGGTTTCCCGGTGCGTTTGGTTGGCTTTGCCCAGGGTTCTGTGCCCTGACCTTCCTGAGGGCTCTCTCCACTGCGTCCATTCAGCTCCACCCAGGGCGAGCTGGGATGGTCTGACCCGGGGAAGGGGAATCCTGGCCGTGCCCAGTGAGGGAGGGTTGGGGGAGCAGCCTCAGCCAGGGCTGGGGGCTCAGGAGCTCACCCGCTGCAGCAGGGAGTGCATTTTAAAATGACCTGGGTCTGTTTTTAAAGCAAGTCCATTGATAATGTACTTTTTACTTGATCTCAAGTTGTACAAACTGATGAATTTGTGTTCCTGTCCCGGCCGTTCCCTCTCTCCCGCACTCGGTGATCCCATGGTATTTGCAGAGTAGTTACCCAAAGCTGTTCCTTAGTTCCAGCAGCTCCAGAGCTTTTACTTTTGTGCAGGTAAAAAGACAAAAGTAGCCGACAGTCTGTGCCATGTCGATGTACAGTTTCGGAAAATGTTTTACAAAACTTTGATAATAAAACCCTGAAACTTCAACTCCTCTTCCTAGAAAACTCCTGGGTTTTATTTCCACCTCTGGGTGCACCAAACTTAACCTGATTCCTTACAGGGGGCTTTTCCATCTCCTTGTTACAGTAAAGAAGGAATTATTTTACCTCTGGGGGGGAAATGGGTTAAAATGGGAATGTGGAGGTTTGTGGGACTGCTGAGAAGGACCTGGGAGTGCTGGTGGATGAAAAGCAAGAGAAGGCTCTGGGGAGACCCTGCCTGGCAGGGAGCACTTGGAGCAAGCTCACGGCCACAGCTGCAGTTGGGAAAATCCTTGTTTTAACTGGCAGTGGCCGGAGTCCTTCCGGGAAGTTTTCCTGCCCCTTTAGAAACAGGAGATTTTCCATCAGCAGATCTGTACCTGCAGAGGGAGGCCCTGATCCCTCTCTGAGCTCAGGAGAGCAAGCCTGAGTTAAAAACTTAATAACCCCAACCCCATCCCTCCAAACCCCAACAGCCCTCCCTCAAAAAAACCAAAAACCCAGAAGAACCCAAAACCCCCAAGCAGTCTCCCTCAAAGCGAAAAGAAAACACCAAACCAACAATTCCCTCAAACCTCCCACCCTCCTGCAAGGCCAAAGCCTCCAGGGCCATCCAGGCTTTGCTCCCCATTCCCCCAGAACTGTCCATCCTGTCATCCAGGGGAGGCTGTTCCTGGATGGAGGAGGTGACATTTCTGGAAGGATTGAACAGAGTTCAGTGAATTTCAGGCTCCTTTTCCCCCCTCCCTCCCCAGCAGCTGCTCCCAACCTGCTCCCTCAGCTCCTGGTGAGGCTGGGAACTGCTCCCACATCCTTTCCCCGTAAAACCTGGGATTCAGAGAGGGCCGAGAAGAGGCTGTAATGAAAATGCAGGATTTTATTTAAAAAATGACCAAGAAAATGCCCTTGCAGAACGCAGCAGCAGGAGCTCGTTCCCTCCCCTCCGGTCCCGCTCCCACAGCGCAGCCGAGGCCGGCGGGACAGCAGAGGGAAGCCTGGATTGCACAGGTGGAGCAGTTTCCAAATCCAACAGCATAGTTTGGTCTTTATTCTAACAAATGATACAACCCAAAGTGACGATGAGTGAAGGGAAGGGAAAACCAAGAGAGGTGACTCGTTTTCCTTGGGAGTTACAAACTGTCAGGAAAAGAAAAGTGAAACTGCAGCATTACAGGAATTGGTTAATCCGGATTAAATAACGCAGTTCTCCTGGCGGGAATTACAACTCAGGAGCAGAGACAGAAAATAACAGAGGACGACTGGGAATATCAATGGAATCCGGGGGATTCCAGCACAAACACATCCGGGCGGGACGAACGGACTCGAGGCAGGACCAGGGAATTGCTGTGCTGGGAGTGCAGTGGCTGGACAGCAGCTCCAGAGAGCGAATCCAGGGTGTTCCCTTTGCCACGGGCAGAGCAGGAGCTTGGAAGACCAGAGGAACAGTTTGGTTCAGAAACAACCCGCGGGATCCTTCCGCAGTGAGGTCGGAATTGGGTTGAGCAAAGTTCCTGGTTGTCTTTTAAGAGCCATAAAAAACCTCAGGAAAAAAAGAAGTGGTGGGAGGGGAGCCCCAGCCTGGGCAGGAGCAGTGGGATGTGATTCCCACCAGCCTGGTCCAGCTCCCTTCTCCTCCTGCCCTGGACTCCAGCTGGGGTGTCCAGGGCTGCTCCTGGTCCCCCTGGCATTCCCAGGCCACAGGGAGGAGCTGGAGCTGCTGCACTGACACGGTCCATGGATCTGTGCTCACTCCCAGGGACCAAACCCTCCTGGAAAATCTGGCCTGGCCTCCAGGAAAATGGGGAAAGCCGAGGTGAGGCTCTGCTGGATCAATGCTGCTTGGAAAAGGAATTCCCCAGAGCCTGGGACAGGGGAGGGACCCTGTGCCCCAGGCTGGGGCTGGGAACACCCTGGAGACACATCCGGGCCCACAAACATTCCCTGTGTCCATGCAACACAACCCAGTGACAAAAACAGGCTTTAGAGGAGAAAACATGGATATAAACATGGATCTCTACGTGGGCAGCCCGTCGGGATCCACAGGTTCAGCCCAGTGTCCCTCTAACTGAGAATTCCTGCAGTGCATCCCTTGGGAATGCCCAGGTATCCCTACGTGTGAGAACTCCTCACCCGGAATGTTCAGAGAGGAAACACATCCCAGGAGGAGGGAAAAGTACTGAGAGCAGCTCTGGGAGCCCAGGGGCTGCCCTGGGAGCTGGGGAACAATCCAGGGAATTCCCATCCCTCAGCTCCACAGGGAGAGCAGGAGCAGCCGGATTTCCTGGGATAACCCAGAACAAGGACAGCCCCAAAGCTGTGCCCACAGTCCAAGGCAGAACAAGCCTTAGGAACAGCTTCCTGCAGCCCCTGGAAGTGTCCCAGGGAGCAGCTGTGTCCTGGGGGGTGAAAATCCCCCAGGTCTGCAGCCAGAGGCCACAGGAATCACAGGAAACACTTCCAGGAGCTGCCCTGGGCTTTGGGCAGACACCCCACGGCCACCAGGGGCTGGTCCAGGGGGGACAGAGCCACAGGAGCCTCAGTCCCAGAGGAGGCCACCCAAAACCCTTTTTGTTTTCCAGTTCCAAGGCCAGGATCCACCCTGGGATCCCACAGTGGCTGCCCAGGTCCCACAGCCCCAGCGACGCTTCCACGGAGCCAGGGATGAATTTGGGATGACCAAAAATGCAAAGAAACACAAACCCACGGATCCTCCCTGTACCACTGAGCTGTCAGTTCATCCCAGAGGTGTGAAACACATCAGGAATTCATCATGACTTGGGAGAACAAGTTCCATCATTCCCAGAGGATGCTCCACACCTGCCCTGACACGGCACTGCAGCAGTCATTTCCCTTTGCTTGTTTTCCCTAAAGTTTCATTTTGGATTTGAGTTTGAATTAAGAACAAAGCTGCACTGCTCCCCTGTCCCAGTGCTTCCCTGTCCCAGTGCTTCCCTGTCCCCCAGGTCCACAGAGGTGCTGGGAAAGGACCAAGCCCACCCTCCCACTCCAGTGCTCCTGGACTTTGCTGACAGTGATTCCCTGGGCCTCTTCCACGTCCCTCCCCAGAGCAGCCTCTTTGGGATGGATCAGAGATTCCAGCAGTTTGGAATTCCCTGCTCTCAGGTGTGCCTGACACCTTGCCCTGTGCTGAGCCCCTCCCTTGTCCCTTGTGCTCAGCACAGCTGTTCCCTCTACTGAGCATCAATGATCCTCTTCATTATAAACTTTGATCCTTAACTCTATGGAATTCCAGAAAAAGTTTTACCTACAGTGCACAAAGAATATAATTTGGAAAATATTTACATTTTTGTACAATGACACCACAGCACTTGAATCTAAATTTCTTCATACAAACAAATAGCACCATCAGCCTTCTGCACAAATCTTGCCTAACAAACCCCAAAAAGGTGGATTATTGTTAGATGAGGAGACTGGAACAACTGGGAATGGGAACAAGCTCGAGGAGCTGGAGTACTGAACCATCCGTGAAGGGGGGCTGGACAAGATGAGCTGTAAGGTCCCCCCACCCCAAACCAGTCTGGGATTCTCTGTGATTTAAACACGAAGAGGCAGGAAATGCATGTGGGAACACCCCAGCAAAAGCTGCCTGCGAGCACCACCATGGCCCCAGTGCAGGGAGAGCTCCTCCTGCAGGAAGGGGCAATGCCTGAGCCTTTCCCAGTTCCCACACACTGACCTGGTGGTGCTCAGCCTCTCCCAAGTGAGGGTCAAATAAAGGATTAACAAGTGACATTCCTGGCCAGGCAGCCCTGGAGTGCCCCCCACCAGCCCAGGGAGCCAGGCAGGGAGCAGGGAGGGAAGGGGGAATGAAGGGATCAGGCAGGGACAGCGCTCCGGAGGTGCCTCGCTCCCTGCAGAGCACAGCTGGCTCTGCCTGGGTGCAGGAGGAAATCCAAGTGTCAGTGGTGCCCATTTGGTTCATTCATCTACAGCCAAGGCATTCCTTCAGGATACCTTCCAACATTCCGTGGCTGAGCTGGGAGCTCAGGGAACAGGGAGCACGGGAAGGACAGGGGGAGCTCACCTCACCCCCAGCCCCGGGCCCAGCTCGGTGCCAAGGTCCAGCAGTGCCTCGTGGATCACCACAAGTGTAAAAAATTTAAAAACCAGCAGCTCCTCCCAGCTGGGGGTGGCATCTCCCGAACCAGGAGTGGCTGTGCCAAAGGGGATGGCAGCAGGAGGCTCTGGGAAGAGGGAGCTGGAGGGGCTGGATGCCCAGAGCAGTGCCAGCACAGCCGCACTGCTGCTCCTTCCCTTCGCTGCGGGCTCACGAGTTCATCCCTTGCTGTGCCCCACGGCTCTGCCCTGCTGGGGGTGCAGCCATTCCCTGGCCCTGGGATGCCGGGGTGGATGTTCCCAGGAGCTCCCAGCCCCCCCTAGAGGTCCGGGAAGCGGCTGGGATCCTCCTTGTAGTCGTCGGGAATGGTGAAGATGGAGTCATCGAACTCGTCGTAACGGAACTCCTGGAACGTCACAGTGGCCGTGATGGTGGGGAACACCGGGATGTCTGCGGGGACAGGGACAGTCAGGGACAGCCAGGAGTGCCACCAATCCCACCCCTGCAAGGCTGGACGGGGCTTGGAACAGCCTGCAAGAGTGGGAGGTGTCCCTGCCCATGGGAATGGGAGCACGAGCTGGAATTTGAGGTCATTGCCAGGAATGCTGTGCAAATATGGCACAGGTAGGGCACAGCCTACCTGCTCACACAGCTCCCTGCAATTCCAGAAACCTGTATCCCCTAGGAAAGGGGTTACTGCTTCTGGGATCATCTATACCATGGATAAGCTGATCTTAGACATTTCCATCTGCTACAAGGGCAATAGTTTTCTATTTTTCACTTAAAATCAATGTATCACCAGTGATCCTTGAAGAACAGGAAACACAGGAATGTTACAAAATACTCCACACCTGAGATCCTCCCCTTTGCAGGAATAATCCAGCACATCCCACTGCCCTTGGAGCAAGGCCCAGCACTTCTGTGCTCCTGAACTCTCCAGCAACACATTCTTAGGTGAGAGTTCTTCCCCAAAATTCCATAAAAGACCTTCTGAACATATTGCAAGAATAAACATACATGTTCAGATCTGGATTGGATATTTGGGAAAATTTCACTTGGAAAGGGTTTTCCAGCCCTGGAGGAGTCCCCGTGCCTGGAGGGATTTCAAAGCCATGTGGATGTGGCACTGGGGGACATGGGGCAGTGCTGGGGAATGGTTGGACTCAGAGGGCTTTTCCAACCTAAAATTCTGGATATATAAAGCCCCAGGAGTTTTGTGTGCTCTTACCTAATTTGACAGGAAAGCCTGGTGGAAGCTTCATTTGAACAAATTCTCTAAGTTTGTTAAAGTGCTTGAAGGGTGCAATGACTTCTAAGACATTCAACAACCTGCAAAGAGAGCAGAGCCCGTGACAGATCCTCCTGCCACCTGTCCCCTGTCCCTGTCCCTCTGGAACAGGAAAACATGATCCAAAGGGCCCAGGGGACACAGAGGGTGACAATGACATCATCCCTTCTCTCCATCCCAGGGCTTCAGGGTCACCCCACATCCAGAATTACAACAAACCAACAGCAGGATAGCAGTTCCTTGTCCTCATTTTCCACAGGAAAGGAGGGATGAGGTATCACCCACTTCTCCATGGACATGTGGAACTGACCTGGCTTTGCACTGGGTATGGGGACACAATTTTGTGCTGAATTTGTTACAGGGAAAACCATTTCAGAATTCTGTGGGATCAGATACCAGCTGCTGATAACCCTGCCCAAAACTCTGCTCTTATCAAGCCAGGTAAGGGCTTGGCTCTTCCCCAGCCCCAACAGCTCCCAACTCCCAGTTTAAGGGATTCCTTGCTCAACAGCCTGGCTGCACTCCCAGCCCCCATTCCTGGGGATCTGCAGGGCTCTGCAGCTCATGAACACATTAAAACATTCCCAGCAGGAATAACCCCCGTGGCCAGGAGCTTCGACTCACGATTCGATTCCTAAGGGGAATTCCTGGCTCATTGCTATCGTGGCTTTGAAGGTTTTCTTGCTCTCCTTGCAGACCAGCTCCCTGCCCAGGTGAGGAGCTCTGTGAGGGAGAGGTAAAGTCAGTGTTTCCCAGGAAAATCTTGGGTTTAGAGGAAGGAAAACAGACTTGGGTTGGAAAACATCAGGCAGGGAGGAAACCCTACTTTCAGAGGGTTTGCTTTATTATAAAGATAAAAAAACTCTTAATTTAGATTACTCTGAGTTGTGCTAAACCAGGAGACAAGACAAAACCAAGAAAATTATTCCAATAAAATAATTCCTTGTAACATGGTGTTAATAAACCCTACATGAAGTGTTTATTAACCACTACCCAGAAATGCCCATGGCAGGGGATGGAACTGGATGGGCTTTAAAAGTCCCTTCCAATCCAAAGCATTCCAGGATTCCCTGCCTGTAGCTGAGGCACTGACACTGCTCCCACACACAAGGATCACTTCCCAGCCCTCTGGAGAACAAACAGCGAGACACCAAACCCAGCGCTCCTCCCTCCCCACACAGCCACACACAAGCAGCACCCACCAAGTGGAGAACCCAAAACCCCCAATCCAGGGATGCAGAGGTGTCCCTGGAGCCCCTGGCAGACCCAGCAGCACTCACTTGCCACTCTCTGCAGAGATGTACTCCTCCCAGGAGATGGTGTTGGGGGACGGCGGCGTCAGCGACTGCCGGCGCACGGGCTGTGGGACAAGGACAGCTCAGCTCAGCGCTCCCTCCCTCACCCTGCCATTCCCACCTGGAGCTGCCCCTCAGCTCCAAGCACAGCCATAGTGCCTGCCCTGCTCATGCCAGCCCTGCCCTCAGCCCCCACTGAGGTGTTTGGCCTCCGAGGGCACTTTCGATAGGACTGGGCTGTGCTGCTCCACCATAATGAGTTAATTCAGGGCTCCGAGTGCCAAGGCAGCAGCTCCAGCTCACACAGAAATAAATTAATCACTTTAAAAGCTCTGTGTGTGCTCCCAGCTGAAGCCTGGCTCTTCTGAAGAGCTCTTGATTTCCTGGTGCTAATCACAGGCTTCCTCCCGTTTTAATGAAGCTCAAAGGAACACGATTGCCTTTCTGGCTTCCCTTTCATTCCCAACAATCAACGTTGGGTCTAAAAGAATCCGCAGTTGATTTGCCACAGCCAAACCCCTCATCTCTTCTAAGAGACAAATTAAGGCTGAATACCCAACATAACCACAGAAATCCCTCTCTGTGTGCACTAATCAGGCTAATTCATTAATGCATCACCAAAATTATACTTGTGGGTCATGTTTGTGATTTTTAGATTATGCCAATCAAAAGAAAATAAAAACATTATCTATGTATTTTGCACCACGAGGAGCGGTGTGCAAGATTATTCTCCCACATCCTGGGCAAAGTTAATCAACTATACCTCAAAATTCTGCTCCATGAGGTTTCCCCCTTTGCTCAGGCTCTCCATGATTGCTTTATTCCGAAGGATGTCCTCCTCACTGAGATGTTCCCTTCTTTTCCTGGATTCCAACACAAGTCCATTCACCAAGTAGAAATCTGCCAGGAAGTTTCCTACTCTTTCCTGCAAGAAAGGAATCAGGACATTAATGACTCACAGAAGAGAAAATGAAAACATTTTGATTCTTGTGTATCAAATAATGGCAATAAGGGAACCTGGGGACTGAGCTGAATTCCCCCAGCCCCTCACATGAGCTGGCACTGGGCAATCCCAAAAATCCAGCACAAACAGGTACTTCTTATGAAGGGAAGCTTTGAGACAGAGATTGCTGAAGAATTTGAGTGAAATCCCTTCCCAAAGCACTCCCATCCCTGCCTTTCTCCAGCAGGAACACACACTGAATCCTTCCTGCACTCCCTGGAATCAACCTGCAGAGATCAGAGGCTCCTGGAACAAAACCATTCCAGCACAATCTGTCCTCCCCCTGCCCAACAGCTACAGAATCTTTCTTCCTTGTTCTTCCTGCTGAAGGCAGTCCAGCCAAGAGATTCCACATGGAATGATCTTGTGATAATTTTGGATAGAGGGGCAGGGATTTTTCCTCTGTCCTGAACACCTTATCCTTTCAGAATCCTGGATTGGTTTGGGCCAGAAGGAACCTCAAAGCCCACCCCATTCCAGCTCCCTGCCATGGCAGAGACACCTTCCACCATCCCAGGCTGCTCCAAGCCCTGTCCAGCCTGGCCTTGGGCACTTCCAGGGATTGGGCAGCCAGAGTTTCTCCAGGAAATCTGCTCCAGTGCTTCTTGCAGTGCCTCTCCCTCCTCCCTCCTGCCCAGCAGCAGGCTCTGAGCTCCCCCTCACTCACAGTTTTGTCCTCCCTGAAGAGCCACCCCGTCTGGGCCCGCGTGAACGTGATGGATTTGGTGGATAAAGTGGCAGAGTAAATATCACTGCTCATCAAAATGTCAACCTCCTCTTCTGTCTCCATCTCAGATTCCTGGAAGAAAAATTCCCAAATATTCAGCAGAACTTAGCAAACAACGATGGCTTCCCCTAAAGATACACCAATAAATACAAATCCATAAGCCTTGTCCTTTGGATCTTTTCCCAGAAGCAGCATTTCCTGCATTTACAAGCGGTTTCATAAAACCTCTGGCCAAATGGTTTCCAAATAGTTTAATCTTGAATATTAATGTGAATAAAGCATCCCAATGGGATTTATGCAGCAGCTCAGCAGCCACACCCTTTCCACAGGCAATAATCCATCTGCTTAAGTGATTGGGGGATAAAGCTGTAATTAAAGACTTGACTAATTACAGGGGGTCCAGTGAGTCAGACCCTCAGGTTGTTATCAGCTGAACTGGCCACAGAGTGACTAAAAGGATGCAAAGCAGGGGGAACAGCTCTGAAAACCCACCCGAGGACACCTGAGTTCAGCCCAGTGGAAAGATTAAAAGCAGCACATCACAATTTAAACCACATCTCTCCAGTCTATTCCCATTCCAGCTTCTCCTTAACCAGAAATCTGGATTCAAAGCTGGTTTCCCTCACAAAATTCGGCGTCACCTTCACAGCTCAAGCTGGAACGACTGAGGTAAAAATTCTTTGGTATGCAGTTCTCTGGGTGTTTCTGAGGCAAATTTTGATACATTCCCAAAAAAGCCTGGGATGTGTCCCACCCCCTTCCCAGAGCTTTACCTCGTGGTGTATTCGCTGGTAAACTTTTTGCTCATTGTCTAAAACTACAAAAGATTCGGAGGGTGCGGCGTCACCGTTAAAAATGAAGCTTAAATCCCCTCGTTGGCACTTCATGTCAGTAAAGTCTATCAGAGTTGTGTCCAGCCTGTGAAAACAACCCCAAATTTCACAAAAACGACCCATAAACGCAGGAGGAAATTCAGCTTTCAAGCACGAAAGTGAATTTTCTTAATGGCAAACAAACACACAAGGGGCTGAGTTTTCATAGAATTTCCTAAGTGAAGCCTGGATGCAGAAATCGGCAAAAAATTGCTATAAGGGTAAAGTTATCTTCAGAAAATTGTATTTGATACTGGCAGCATGAGGAGGGGAGGGGGAGAGAATCTATTCAGTGCTACACACTGAGAAACAACTCCTCAGCAGGGTCCTGACTGGAATAACAACACTGGGACATGACCCAAAAGCTGAAGAGCACTCAGAACCAAACTCCTTTTTTAAAATTTGGTTTATTTTTATTTCTGTTTCTATTTTTCTCCCTCACCAACACCAAGGACATGCTCCTGCAGACCTGAATACCTGGAAGATGGAGCTAAGACCACGGATCTCTGTAGCAATTCATATCCAGTACTGCCAGAGCATTTATTTCTCATTAAAAGGTGGTTATAGAACCTGAACTTGGTGACTTCAACTCTGTGAAGTGGTGAGGAATTAAAACTCCTCATAGATTTGCCTCTGATTCCAAGGAAAAACCTGTATTTATCTATTTCCCCTCAGTTCAAGCCTCATACAGGCAGAGCATTCAGAAATGAGAAGGAAAGCAACAGCCCCAGACTCAAATTTCACCTAAAAATTCACTTTACAGACCCAAGCTGCCCCTTTAATACAACAAAAATTCCTACAGACTGAATCTCCAGAATCATATTCTTCCCTCTTTGTTTTAAATTTTGGCCCCTAAAGAAAATGCCAGAAAATACATTTGGTTCCAAACTAGAAAGAGCTGAGCTTGGAGAGACTCCTGAAATACCCTACTGAGTTTGTGAATTTGTCACATTAAACACCTTAAAGAGAGAAATTATATCACTTTTTGGTTTTTTTTTTAACTACAGACTGGAGCAGCAACACTTCTCCACAAAATACTGGAATTTATTTGCAATTGTGTTATAAATACCCAATCCCTGTTTTTCACTGGCACATCTGGTAGATAAAGCCTTATCCAGCTGAACTGCTCTTGCTCTATATTTCAGTTATATTCAGCTCAAAAGAGATAATCAGAGAGCCTGAAATTCCAAGGCTCAGTGCTGTGTCATGGATGTGCCCAGGCTCCTCAGGGATTCAGGCTCACTGGGAGCCAGCTTTTCCCTGGCACAGAAGGATTTGGGTACAAAAGCAGCACTCACCTGATATTTATACCTTGTTTGTGTATTTTACATGCATCAGAAGGCAGAATTCGGGAAAGTAAAGGCACTAAAGGAGGGAGAGAAAAGGCAATCAGGGCACTGAGATCCCTCTGCAAAGTATTCCCATTAAAATCATTCCATCAGTTTGATTCTGGATGTGTTTTAATGCAGATACAGCATTTTCCATCATCATCTCAGTCAAACACAACACCAAGGGTATTTCTATCTGATAAAATTGATTTTTTTGTAATTGTAATTGCACACCCCGCTCCCAATATCAGAGAGAATTTGTATTTCCATCACAGGTAAACCATTTATAAATCCTAATAACTGTGGCTGTTCATACTTTGAATTCTGGGATTTAACACTTTACATAATGCTCCAAGGGAAAGCCTGGATCCAATTAAAGCAGAACAGCCACAAGCATCAAAAATGGTTCAAAGTATTAATTACTAAATTAATAAAACACACAAAATCATGGAATCCCAGACTGTTTGGGTTGGGGATCATCCCATCCCACCCCCTGCCATGGACAGGGACACATTCCATGGCCCAGGCTCTTAAAGCAAAGAGCTGCTTCCCCTCCTTATAGTGAGCCACTGGATGAGAGAATTCAGCTCCAAAAGTGAACAAGCAAAAATAAATCTGGAAAAAGTCGTGTATCCTTTCCTCAGGACTCAGAGCCCAAGCACTGTGACTGTTCCAGCACAAAGCAGAGGAGAACAAGTGTGCTGCAGGCTGATTGCATTATCTCCCTGGGGAAGGGATGTGGAAGCACTCACCCCAACTTTGAAAATCCCAGTGAAGCTCTAGATAGAAGTCACCTAGCTGAGAAGAAAAGAACAATGTGTTAACAAGCTTTTCAGGCTAAATAACTGTAAAATTTGCTGGAAGACAGGCAGAAGTGTTTGGCAAAGAAAACTTTCTCTAAAGTTGTACTTGAATTTGTACTGAACTCAAACATCACTGAAGCTTTAGCTGCAGCAGAATCAATAATGACAAAATGATGTAAATATTTGAACTCACATTTTTAATCATTTCTTAATACTAATTCAGCTATCGAGCCCTGGATTGCAAAAGATTTATTGTAAACATGTGTTTAAAAAACACCTATGGAGCTCTCTGCTTGCTTTGATTGATCCCAACCAATCCCAGGGAATTAGAATTAATTATACAATAATTAATGAGTCAAGTTTCAGGCAGGAGTATTGCAAAGACCAGTTGCCACTGGCCTCATGGAAATGTGCTGAAGTCATCAGGTCAGACCTCCTGTGCCTCCAGAGCACGTGTGAGCCAGAGCCAGCCCCACCACGAGGTGCTCAGGGATCACAACACAGCCCAGCTTTCACAGGGATAACTTCATCAACTTTTGATAAATAACTGGGTTTCTACAAACTGCTGTCCCCAAACTGAGCAATATTTCACTGTGCCCAAGGGGAATTGGATGCTGGATGCTGATGGAGAATGAAACCAAAAATCTCCTCCAACACTGGACAAAAGTCATTTGGGGACTGAACAGACCAGGAAATTATTCATTGGCACAAGATTAAAGAAAGTCTTAAAAATCTAATGAAATAGAGATTCTTTAACTCTGAGATTGCAATGATGATGAGCAGGTCTGCTTTACACAAACCTTTCACTTGAATTTCTAGAAGTTGAAAGGAAGTATTACCTTAAAATAAACATAATTCTGTGACCCCTTAAAACAGAGCCAAGATTGCTTTTAAGAGCAGAAGATTGGTAAAAACATGGAAAAAACTTCCTGGCAGTTTTCCAGAGTGTCCATCCTCAGAGCACAAGTCACTGCTTTCCACCCCATCTGGTTTTGTCAGCACAACTCACCTCTTTCAGGGCTTTTAATAACCGAGGTCGCTTCTCTTCAACACTTTCCCTGGACTGCTGCTTGAGCTTCCTCAGGAGTGCTGAAACTACACAGGAAATAATCCATGAACTCTGTTTGTTTGGTAATTACAGGTGAGTGACTTATTTGAGGTCTAAAACCCAACAATGCAATGGAACATTTCATCAGAACTGAGGAATTAATCCCAGTTACAGGAACTGCACATTAACCTGCTCAGATCACCCCAGGAAGAAAAGCCTCAATAATTGTTTGTAACATTAACTATTGAATCATGTCAAGAGGGTTTGTACACAGGTATTAGTAAATATGTGGACACAAATACTGAGTAACATCTACTCCACTGAGAAAATCAGTAGTGAGGAGCTGACAAGAGGATGTTGTTGGTGGATTATAAATTAGTGCATTAATATATTAATAATACATTTATATGTGTAATAGATAGTGAGTTTTCTGCTACAGGAATGTACCACCACACATGGTGGTAATACCAAATACTATTTACATCCACCAGTGAGTAGCAGCAGAATAATTTGCTTTTGCTCCTCCATGTCTGAGGTGAATACATAATATTTGAATAATACATAATATATAAATTATATTTTCCCACTGGCCTCTTGAGATGCAGCCTAAAAGCCACATCCCACTGGCAACTGATACATGAACAAACCTGTGACCACAGGGAGCAGCTCCAAGGCTATGATCCTACCCAGGCCAGATCTATTTGGATCCTGTCACTGCCATTCCAAACCCAGAACATGCTCGTGCAGAGCCTTCCCATTTTAACTCTGCTCAGTCTGAGCAGAGTTAACAGTTTGCTTACGTAACCCAGTGCAATTTCTTATCAAGGAAATGGATGTGCCTGATCATGTTCAGATATAAAATGTTCAGCTGATTAAGAGAAACCCTTCAGAGAGCTGAAAGAGGGCTGTGGGAAAATAACCCAGCTTGAGAGCTCTGCTTTCCTGTTCTGAATGAGCCCCAGTTTGGGATTAACTGGCAAACTGGGATGAATGAAGAGGTGCTTACTCATCTGTCTGTCTCCATAGCTGATGGCTTCGGCCAGAGGGCTCCATCCCTGAGCGTTTTTCACCTTTACTGGAGCATTATGGGCTAAAAGCAGGTGGGCACACTCTGGAACAAAATATCCACAGTTATTTACAGTAAAGGATGCAGCAGGAGCAGTCAGAATAAAACTCTACCAAAGCAATTCATATCAGAGATATCACACAGATTATCAAAACATGTATCTGGGCTCTGACTCACTCTAACAAACAAAGTCATTTATGCAAGTACTTCCAGCACTTCCCTGTTCAATATTACCACTAAAAATAATTGGTGATCAACCACCAATTATATAACACTGAAGAGACTTGTCCCTCTTGCTACGTGGAGTTTGCTTTTTATAATATTTCTGCGTGTCAGATACACACACCACTATGGAATAAGGGTATTTATATTTAATGTATGACATCAGCTCTCTCTGCTGCACACACAAAGCAGAGAAATATCTCAGGGCCTTCATCCCTCTCCAAGGGGTGATGGATCATGGGGACATGGATTTGGGGCAACTCCCATCAGGAGTAGGGGAGGCAGAGGAGCCTGAGGCACCAACACATCCCTGGGATTTAAAGAGGGCAAACAGGCACCTCTGTTCCAGGAAAGCCTCAGAGCAGGTGTGGAACCAACAGCTGCATTCCCCATCCACAGGTGGACATGATGGTGGAAAAACTGAAGGAGACAAGGAGGGTTTCAGTGCTCCCATGTGCTCCTTGGAAATGGTTGTTCAGTTTCCAACCACAGGGAAAGCTCAGCACATGTCACTAAAGCCACCCCGAGCCGTCTGGAGGTGATGCAGCAGGGCCCAGCTGTCTCATCACCAAGACAGGGACTTCCTGGGTTATTTTCCTACCACAGGTGCCACAGGAAACTGCACTGGTCATTCCAGATGCAGCAGCTGTGAGTCAGTGGCAGGCTGAGTGGCTGGGGAGGAAGAGATCCCTCCCTGCTGAATAAACTCTCCTGTGGGATAAACAAAGGCCCTGACTAACCCAGCCAAGACACCGAGGGATTTTTATGGCTCCTTAAACATGCCCAGGACAAGAACATCACTCTGCAGGGAGCAGGCAAATCAGCTTGGAATCACCAGCCAGATTCCATTTCCAGTTCAATAAACAGGTTGGGAGAGCTGGGGGTGCTCATCTGCAGAGGAGAAGGATCCAGGAAGAGCTCAGAGCCCTTCCAAGCCCTGGAGGAGAAGGATCCAGGGAGAGCTGCAGAGGGACTGGGGACAAGAGGAGACAGAAAAGGGGGAATGGCTTCCCACTGCCAGAGGGCAGGGTGAGGTGGGATATTGGGAATAAAGCTCAGGTTTCTTTTCCCACTCTTCTCCTCCAAATCCATGTGGCATCTTCTTTCCAGAAAACCTCACTAGCTTGAAACACACACTGAAGGATCACATTCAGGAAAGGGAAAAAAACCCCTTTTTTCCTCTTGCCCCCAAATCTTCAGGATGACTGAAAAGGTAACAAAGCAAATGGTTCTACCCACCTTTATGTCCCAACATCACAGCAAGATGTAAAGGAGTGTTTCCTAAAAGAAACCATAGAAATAAGAGAGATGAGATGAAAGTTACCAGAATCCATTGCAATCCCTTCCTTAGGAAACTCCAGTTCCTGCTCTAACCCAGGAACACACCAACACCCGCCAGAGTGGCATTTGCTTAGATCATAATTGTCAAAATAAATATATTGAGACACATTTCATGGGCCAGAGAGGGTTTTGAATGATGCCTTGAAACTCACTCCAGGCAAAGAGGTCCAGAGGTGTCTTTGAGAAAGACACAACCCCTGTGCTCCTCACAGGCTGAAGGGTCTGATCCCTTCCCAGCCTGACATATCTGGGTTAAAAGCTACTCACGGATATGATACTGATTAAAAATTTAACAGCCTGTTTTATTAATATTTCAAAGATTGAGTACTCATTTTTTACAACTACAGTACTGGGCATATTGAGAAGGAACAGCACCTTCACTACAAAGCTGCCTTTTGGCTGTTTCCAAAGAAAGCTTTGGAGATGATCAGCAGCCTCTCAAACCTGTCCCCATTTTCCTGGCAATGCTTGTGACACAGGTGGTATTTGTGTTGTTAAATATTCACTGTGAGGCACCCAGAGCTGTTTTTCCTGGATTAATGCTGCTACCAGGCTCCTGACACACTTTATTTAGGGAGCTTAAGGATGTAAAGTTCTTTCATTTAACTGTATTTTGCACATTTAAACATCTTCTTAGAGCAGTCAAGAGAAAAAAATGCTGGAAAACAAATTTCTTGGGCAATTCTAACACACACACTTGGCTGAGAGTTATTCTCTACCTCCCATTTTGTCAGCAGGGAGAACCTGCTCTGTGCAGAGGATGTGCTGCACATCTGGAGAGGCTGCCACACGAATGGCAGCACCCTGCAGCATCAGGGAAATTCAGATGGAGATGGGAACTCTGCCCTGCTTGCCCAAGAGGGGCTGACAGGGCTGTTCAGTGTGTCCTGCATCTCATCCTTGCAGGACACTGGCAGCATCCCAGGCAGCCACAGCCCAGCTCATTGTACACTAACCCAGCTCAACTCCTGCTGCTATTAATAGCTGCTCCAGCATCTGGGAGCCAGCACAGCACTGGGAATCCTGGATGCTGCCAGGCTCTGGTAGGGGATGGAAATAACCTTCCTGAGGAACATGTTTGAGAGGGAGCCACACTGTGTGCCCAGGAACTGCGAACTACGTGACCCAAGGGGAAACACTGTCATAAAATCATGGAGACACAGGAATGGTGAGGGTGGAAAAGCCCACCAGGATCACAGAGTCCAAGCTCTGCCCAATTCCCACCTTGTCCCCAGCACTGAGTGCCACCTCCAGCCCTTCCTTAGACACCTCCAGGGATGGGCACTCCAACCCTCCCTGGGCAGTTCCAGTGCCTTTCCATGGACCACCCTTTCCATGGGGAAATTCCTGCTGATGCCCAACCCAATTCTCCCCTGACACAACTCAGGGATGTTCCCTCTGCTCCTGTCCCTGTTCCCTGGAGCACAGCCCGACCCCCCGGCTGTCCCCTCCTGGCAGGAGCTGTGCAGAGCCACAAGGGCCCCCTGAGCCTCCTGTGCTCCAGGCTGAGCCCCTTCCCAGCTCCCTCAGCCTCTCCGCTGATGTCAGATCCTCAGGGTCTTTTTTGCTCCCTGCCCTGGACATGCTCCAGCCCCTCAGGGTCTTTTTTGGAATGAAAGCCTCAGAACTAACCCCAAGATATGAGGTGAGGCCTCCTCAGTGCCCAGCACAGCCACAGCCCCTTTTCCCAAGAAATCAGTGCTCCAGCAGCTCCTGGAATCCTGCCCGTGCACATCCAGGTGGGCAAATGAGGCCTGCTGGCCCAAAACTTCCATGGACCACCCTTTCCATGGGGAAATTCCTGCTGATGTCCAAGCCACTTCTCCCCTGACACAACTCAGGGCTGTTCCCTCTGCTCCTGTCCCTGTTCCTGGAGCACAGCCCGACCCCCCGGCTGTCCCCTCCTGGCAGGAGCTGTGCAGAGCCACAAGGGCCCCCTGAGCTCCAGGCTCAGCCCCTTCCCAGCTCCCTCAGCCTCTCCTGGGGCTCCAGATCCTCAGGGTCTTTTTTGCTCCCTGCCCTGGACACGCTCCAGCCCCTCAGGGTCTTTTTTGGAATGAAAGCCTCAGAACTAACCCCAAGATATGAGGTGAGGCCTCCTCAGTGCCCAGCACAGCCACAGCCCCTTTTCCCAAGAAATCAGTGCTCCAGCAGCTCCTGGAATCCTGCCCGTGCACATCCAGGTGGGCAAATGAGGCCTGCTGGCCCAAAACCACACCTCAAACACAGCACCTGTCCCCACACACGAGTGGCCTTTCACCTCTGCTGAGGAACCTGCACACCTACAGGGAGCCAGGGCTGCTTTCCAGCTGTATTCCAGCAAGAGGATTTGTCTGTTAAGGATTTAAACTCTTAAATGCATGTTATAATCAAACTGTAAGTCATCTGCTAGGTGTAGCTACAGGCTTCTCCCAGGAAACTCATTGTTTGGGAATAATGACACTGGCCTTCCTCTGGGCAGTGATTTGGAGGTTAATTTAGGAAGCTGGGTAGGCACTCAATTAACACTCAATTGCTTTTAGCAGAACAGCAGGAGTCCCCCGTTCCAGAGGATTTGGCTTTCCTGCACTGAATCAAGACTAAAACAGGCCTGGATTATTAACAGTAAGTTCTCTCTCCCCTCTTTCCAATCCTTAGCACATCCCAGGATTCCTCTGGCTTATTTCTGAGTAAATCATCAGCTGGAGTGTCCCCCAAATAATTCCCAGCTCCAGTGTGTGTAAACAAGTGACAGATGGGAACAGGCAGGAAGAAAACAATAACAGGGAAATGTTACTCAGGCCTTTGGAATGTCAAGCCATCAAGAGGTTTGTTGTGGGGTTTTTTTTGAACAGCTCAAGTAAAAACTGGGAGGAAGATGATGAGTCAGAGATCCCCAAAGTGTCCCAACTCTGAACAGCACTGGGAAAGCAGGGAGATATTAATTAGAGATTTATATATGGATCAAAAAAGGATGGAATCAGTGTGTGTGATACACACTGAGGGTGACAGCACAGCAAAGAGGGATCAGGAAGTGCCTTCAAGGAAAGATTTGGAGCTGCTGCTGCTGAGCTGCTTGAAGGGGAACTGGAGGAGGAACAGGGAGAAGCAGCAGCAGGAATAGAGAGAGTGGGAAAAATCCTCCCCAAGTCTGCTGCTTTCATTCTAGCAGGATTTGCTGGAATGAAGGTGGCAGGATAAACAGATCTGTAGCTGGATTTGGAGCTCTGCCCTTAGGAAAGCACTGTGCCAGTTGCAGGGAACACTCCTGCCCATCCTGGCTGGGAGCTGAGCCCCGTGTTACTCTGCAGCCCTCAGCTGCCTTCCAGTGCCTGCACAGACACAGCTGGAATTCCCAATTCCATCACTCCTGCCACCGTGCCAGCCCCAGAGATCCTTCACCTTCATGCTCCTTTTGAATTTACAGACCACAGCTAAGCAGAGCCGATCTCCTTATCAGAAACACAACACAAGCATCCCCTTTATCACAACTTCTCAGACACCACACACGTGGAACTGGGAGTTCTCCAGCAGAAATGGATCATGTTACTCTTGAAACGGCTATTAAAAACAGAGATTAAAACCAGCCATGAAGGTCAAGCTGATCCCCTAGGCTGATTTATTTGTTAACAGTATAAAATATCCCCCAAATTAAAACGTTTTGAAATGTCCTGGCAAGACATTCAATATTTACAAATTTCAGAGCAGCACAAGGATCAGATTCCATCTCTGCCAATGACACTGCTGTGGACAGAGAATTTGCACAGGAGCAGCTGAGAACAACTCTCTCAAAATCCAGAGCCACAGCATTTAAAAAGAAAGGGAAAAAAAGGATTGATTTTTGTAGCCTGGGGAAATATCAAAAACTGCCCTGCCAACAGCCAAAGGAACTGCTCAGCATCCCCCAAAGCAAACAGGTGATAGCTCAGACATCCTAAAAGAGAATGAATCTTTTAAACGCAGTGGGGTCTTGGACACAGAGCAACACCCGGTCAGAGGCAGCTCTGCCAGCACAGTGCTGGCACTGGAGCTGACAGTGCTCATTCATATTACGAAAATCATGGAATTACGGAATTATTGCAATGGACCTTAAAGCCCATCCCTGCCATGGGCAGGGACACTTTCCACCTTCCCAGGATGCTCCAAGCTCTGTCCAACCTGGCCTTGGACATTCCAGGGATCCAGGGGCAGCCACAGCTGCTCTGGGCACCTGAGCCAGGGCCTGCCCACCTTCCCAGGGAACAGTTCCTGCCGGGATCAGGGGTGGATTCCAACGAACAGATCTTGAGGAGCGGCATCGAGGATCAGTCCGAACGGGCGCACCCTGAGGGACGGGATCGATCCCAAAGGGCACACCCTGAGGGACGGGATCAATTCCAAAGGGCGCACCCTGAGGGACGGGATCGATCCCAAAGGGCGCACCCTGAGGGACGGGATCGATCCCAAAGGGCGCACCCTGAGGGACGGGATCGATCCCAAAGGGCGCACCCTGAGGGACGGGATCGATCCCAAAGGGCGCACCCTGAGGGAGGGCGCACCCTGAGGGACGGGCGGGATGAGGGATCGATCCCAACGGGCACATCCCGAGGGGCCGGGACAGGGAGACTCCATGACTCTCTAAGCTGGGGTTCCAGCGCTCTCCCACCCTCCATGGAAAGTTCTTCGGGAAATGATGGGACCTGGACAAGTGTTCCTCAAAGTTAAAAACAGGACAGTCTCCCTGTCGTGGTGCGAGCTCTTGTAGGTGCAGTGTCAGCTCAGAAAGGACCTGTTTGGGTTGGAGCTTCCCTATTTCCCACTGAACGTCCTGCTCCTGGGCCAGTTCTGCAAGTTTCTCCTTCCAATATGGGATGAGTAATTGTCCTAAATTCTTGGTGAATTGGATTTTTTAATAATTCTCCCAGGGAAAACAACCCCCAAGTTGCCAGGGAGACCAGACCTGCTGTGATAACAAAATTACCTTCCTGGTGACCTTGTCTTTCCAAAGTTCACATCATCTCCCTTATCCCAAGTGACCAAGAAGAATTCTAGCCAGATTTAGGAATTCCTGTGCCTGCTGTCCCCAGCTGCTTCCCACACAGCTTTTTACAGTCCTAATACAGAATTTGAAGTAATTCTAGGGAACAAAGCCCCCAACAATTTGCTTTTGCTCTATGCTGCAGTGGTCTTTCCAATGAGATTTTTCTGTCTCTCCTCGTTTTTTGAGGAAAGTCAAACCCATTTGCAGACAGAATGTGAGAGGCTGGCACTGTGAGCAGTTCTGATGTCTCCTGTTCTCCCGTGCTGGAAACACACACGGAGCACGGCTGGTCTTGTGGAATGGAGGGATTGGCTCAGGTTTTAGCTGATGTTGGAAGCCTCATGCTGCATTTTTAATTACTAGAGGCATGAAGTCTCTGTTTACCAGCTTATTATGGACTCCCTTATTCACCCCAGAAATGGAACCAAGGCATTACTCACGGGAAGGGCTCTGGGAAAACTGGTGTTTGTAGGGAATCCCAACTGTAGGATTACTTTACACTTGCAAATTCTTGAGAATGGCTTTTTTGTCTGCCTATCAACAGAACTTTCATACAGCAAGCAGGTTTATCAACACACGATGGAATTCCTCCCTCCTAAATCCCAGGTTCCTGCTTGTGTGTGAAGCTGGGGCGTGGTCCTGCACACATTCGGAGGTTTGCTCTTCTTAGATCCAGCTTTGCTCAGATTTTATCCATATTTTCGTTGTAAAGAAAATGTTTCCTTACAAAATCTAATATATAAATCATTCATCAGTGGCCTTCAGCACACGTGTGTCCTTTGTCCTCAGAGGTCAAAGTGCTGTTCCATGGACGTCAGTCCACGTAGGAGAACCTTGGCAGGGAGACCCAGTGAATTAATTTTTAATCACAGAATCCCAGGATGGGTAAGGCTGCAAGGGACCACAGGGGCTCCTCTGGAGCCACCTCCCTGCTCCAGCAGGGACATCCCAGAGCACAGGGCAGTGTCCTAATGGCTCTGGAATATCCCCAGAGAGGAAAGTCCACAGCCTCTCTGCACAATCTGCTCAGGGCTGGGCACTGCCCAGGCCAGAAGCTCTGCCTCCTGTGCCGGGGCAATTGCTGGGCTCAGTCCCTGCCCGTGGCTCTGGTGCCACTGCTGGGCCTGGAGCAGAGCAAGGGCCTGCTCTGACCTCTGCACACAGGGACGGACACAGGGACACACAGGGACGGACACAGGGACATGGACATTCCCGTGCTGCCGCGTTATTCCCGGTTCCTCCCGGGAAAGGCGCCCCTGGATCCCGGGAAGGCTCCCCGGGAGCGGCCCCTCAGCGCGCAGCGGGCGGGCTCCCCCCAGCGGGCGGGCGCTGCCCGTGCAGGCCGGGCCCCGCCCCGCCGGCAGCCAATGGGAGGGCGCGAGGGCCCCGCCCCGCCGGCGTCGCAGCCAATGAGGAGGCCCCGCTCCGCCGAGTACCCGGAGCGCTGAGGGCCGGTCCCACAGAGACGCGGCCATGGCGGGCAAGGGGATGCAGGGGTTTCTGCCGCCCTTCAAGCACTTCGCCACCGATGCCGTCCACGCCGGCCAGGAGCCCGAGCAGTGGCGCTCCGGGGCCTTGGTGCCGCCCATCTCGCTCTCCACCACCTTCAAGCAGCGGGCGCCCGGCGAGCACGCGGTGAGTGCGGCCACCACCGGGGCGCTGAGTCACCCATAGCCCCGGTCAGGGCTTGGGCACACCCGGGAGGCCGCGAGCATCCGGCGTGTCCGGGCCGGGGCAGCGGGAGGCGGCAGGTGCTGGGCACGGAGGGAGCTCCCGGCGCGGATGTTTTCCCCCCGTGGCCGCTCCTGGGCAAACGCGAGCATCTCGCTGGGCCGGGAGCGGGGCTCTCGGCCGGGCAGGCGGCGGAGTCTCCTCACGGGGACACGGCAGAGCCGCTGCCCGCGATGCCGTGCCCTGGGCTCCGGGATGGCCCTGCTGAGCAGCGATGGGGCCGGAGGAGCCGCTGTGGTCCCTTCCAGCCTGACCCAGCGTGGGGCTCGGTGTTCCCGCAGCGGGCGGCCATCCGGAGCGGTTTGGGATGAGGCTGGGATGATTCCCGTGTGAAAGGCGGGGGAAGGGGAGCAGGGAGCACGCAGTGCCCCCGGGCTCGCAGGAATGCTGCTCCCGGCCCTGCACCTGCCTCAGGGCCCGGGCAGAATCCCTGTTCCACTGCACACACTTTGTGTAAGAGCCTGCTTCGGTTTTCCTTCCAAACGGAGGAAATATTTCCTAAGGATTTTGTGGATGCCCTGTAGAAAGTGCTGGAAAGGTTTTACAGGACGTGGCACAAAGCTGCCACTCCTAAATCAGCACCTGCTCCAAACTCACACTGTGCTGGTTGGGCAGGAGGAATTTGCCGTGTGATTCCTCATTCCACACAGAATCCCAGCTGTGCTGAGGAGGCCCTCAGGAGGAGCCACGCTGCTGTATCCACATCCTGATGACAGGATCCATGCTCTTGCCGGGAGCTCTGCCAGAGCGATCTGCAGGATTCCTGACTATGAGGAAGTTGACATTAAAGAGAAATCCTAAAAGCAAGCAAATCCCAGGGTGCTCAGCAGGTTCTCTTGGTAACAATTGCATCTGTGCATGCATGAGTGATATTTTCCTCATTAAATTCCCCTAGAATTTGCATAAAAGCTGTGGCACTAGGAAACGTGTGGGTTGTCAGGAACTGATGAGAGGAGTTGTCCAGTTCTCTGTGGGTGTGATGGAGATGGACACACGTTTTTCCTGAGAATTCCCTCCAGAGAGGCTGAGGAGTCTCCCTCACTGGAGACACCCAGAATTGTCTGGACACCATCCCGTGCCCTGTGCTCTGGGATGGCCCTGCTGAGCAGGGAGTGGGAGCAGGGCACCCTCGTGGTCCCTTGCAGCCTGGCCCAGCCTGGCATGCTGAGGGTGGTTGGACTGTACAGCCCAAGCCCTCTGTCCCACAGTGGCCACAGAAGGATGTCTGGGGATGTCATGGATTGTGCCAGTGCCCCCATGAAAGGTGTATCCCCCAAAATGGTTACTGTGAGATGTGACCCGGGAACAGAACAAAGCAGGCTCTAACTTGTCAGCTGCCTCTCCCAAGGTTCAATCTCTGCATTAACGGAAGAAACTGGCTTTGCCCGTGGTTGTGTAAGAGGAAAAGTCCAGCCAAAAATTTGAAATTTGGCCACTGATTGGTTTGACCATAACTTCCCAAAACCTCACTTCTGGGTCAAACCACGACAGGGGAGAAGCAGAAGAATGTGGCTCCTTGCCCCAGTGCACCCCAGGCCCCTTTCTCCAGCAGGGATGCCCAGCTGAATGTTGTGCCAGGACACCCTCCTGCTGCTCTGGGAGGAGCTGGATGCCCTCAACCAGGGCTCTTTAAGGAACCTAGAACTGCTGTTATTCCAAACTTTCCCAGTGCTCTCTCTCTGATGTTTGTTTCCTCCTCTCACCCCAGGGTTATGATTACATCCGGTCTGGGAACCCCACTCGGGACTGCCTGGAAAAGGCTGTGGCCACCCTCGATGGAGCCAAATACAGTGAGCATCTCATGGGTTGGACAGGGCTTGGAGCAGCCTGGGACAGGGGGAGGTGTCCCTTCCCGTGGCAGGGGGTGGCACTGGGTGGGCTTTGGGGTCCCTCCATCCCAAACCCTTCCATGGTTCTGTCACCACGGCTCTGGCTGTTGGCTGTGGGCAGGAGCAGCTCCAAGGTGGGGAAGAGCCCAACACTTGTGGTTCAGGAATGTCCAGCTCCATCCCTGGGTTTGTCTCCTGCTTCCTCATGTGGCTGATGCCTGGGCTGAGCTGGATCCATCCTTGTGCAGCAGCACTGGAGGCAGTGGGAGCAGGCAGCCCCGGGCCCCAGTCCATTCCCAGTGTGTCCCAGTGTCCATGCTGGTTCCATGCTGTGCACATCCATCTCCTGCTCTCACTGGCTCCACGCTCCCAGTGAGGCAGTGACAGGACAGGTTCTTTTCAGAGGCCAAGGGAGGAAGGCCAAGGCAAGTCTGACTTGTTGTGTCACATCAAACACTGATGATCCTTTCTCCTCAGGCTTGGCTTATTCCTCTGGCTTAGCAGCTCTTTTGAACATCTGTCACCTGCTGAAGGCAGGGGACACAATCATCTGCATGGATGATGTCTATGGAGGTGAGTACAGCACTCAGGGGCTTCAGCCTTCTTTGTGCAGGGGATCAAACCTGCCTGTGGCTCTCAGGAACTCTGAATCTGGGATGCCTGGGATGGCACAAGCCCAGCTGGAGGAAACCTCCCTGAGCTTGGAGGAAGCAGCCGGAGCCTCCCCTGGCTCTGGCAGGGCCACTGCCCGTCCCCAGTGCACCAACCCCGGGGAGCTGCCAGCACTGAGCACCCGGAGCCCCTGGGACTCAGCCCAGCCCTGGGAACTCTCTGACCTGGAGTTTTTTTGGGTTTGTGCAGCTGGTTTGGCTCGAGAGCCCCACAAATCCTGTGCTGACTGTGATTGACATCAAAGCCTGTGCAGATGTGGCACACAGGTTCCAAGATGTGATGGTGGCCGTGGACAACAGCTTCATGTCTCCATATTTCCAGGTGTGTGGGAAAAGGACAGGACTGTCACCTGTCCCAGTGGGGCTGGAGATCCCTTTTGGGAAGGGAAGCACCACCAAGGAACTGCAGTTTTGGGCTCTGCATTGTAAAATGACCTGCTCTGGTCCAGCCCCAGCCCAGGTGCTGCTGCCTGTGCAGCAGTGAAGGGGGCAGGGCGAGTCTGTCCTCCAGGAATGATGGAATTCTGCTCTTCCTGGTAGGAAACAGAACAGTTGCAAAGTGTTCCCTCACTTTGGCCTTTTTACAGCAATTCTTCTGTAGATGCTGTTCTGATCCACAAAGGTAAAACCAGAAGGTAGTGGAAGACAAAGCAAGCAAACTTCGTCCAGTATTTCTTCGAGACATCCACTTTACCTTTTTCTTCAATTCATTGTGTTTCTCCCCTTGTTTATCCTGTGTGAGCTCAGAGCCCTTTGGAATGGCTGGGAATGAACCTGAGTGCAGCCCCCCACGAACCCCACGCTGAAGGTGATCGACATCAGAGCCTGCGCAGACATCGTGCACAGGCACCCGGGGGTGCTGCTGGCCGTGGACAACAGCTTCATGTCTGCCTACTTCCAGGTGTGTCACCTGCCCCAGGGCAGGTGGATTGGGCAAGGGATGGGAAAGGCATTATATCAGATCTGTTTCCCAGGAGACCAAGCTAAGCCCTGGTGCTGTAGGTTTAAAGTCACCCTTTTTGCAGAGTGCACAGTGCTTGGTTTTGTTCAGGGTGCTGTGATCTTGCTGAATGAAGAGAACTCTGCAGAAAGTGTTAATGCTTAGCTCAAGCAGCTCTGCAGTTGGCCTGGGACATAGCAGAGGCTTGGGGATTTGCCCTGCAATGTGTTGTTCACTTCAGAATTCTCAATTTCCTCCAGAAAGGGCTGTGGAAGAACACAGGGTGCTGGTTAATGTGTCTGGAGCAGCCCGGTGCGGAGGGAAAAACAGTGCTAATGATTAATTGGTGGGAGCAGTAGGTGAGGTACCACACTGGGCTGAGAAAAGGAGAACTTCACAGTGTTCTGTCCATCAATATTGAGTGTCAAAGGCCTTTTCCATGATGGTTCTGGCTGGGCATCTCCACATTCCCTGGGTGGGAGTCTGCATTTAATGTGGTGGCAGCAGCAGTCTCTGCATCTGCCTGCTTCGTTAAGTATTAACTTTAACAGTGATGCCCTTCACTCTTCAGAATGTGCTGATACCATGTGCCAAGTGCCTTAATTAATGATTGATTAAAAATCTGGCACTGCTCAGCACCTCTTGCCCATCCACCTCCTGGTTTGTCTCACCTCAGGAGGCTCCTGGGCAGAGAGCTGGGAGCTGAGGGGAGAGAGCTGCCACAGGAACCTCCTTTGCTCATGTTCTCAGCTCCTCCAGGGAGGATCTGCAGCACCTGGAAAGGAAAGCAATTCTTTAGCTTTGCAGCTGGAGTCCTTCATTTCCCATGGGAATGCACTTTGTGGGGTCAGTGCCATGGCTTGTCCCTGCCTCAGCTGAGCAGCAGAACTGTTTCTTCCCAGCTCTGCACTGTGTGTTGGATGTGCTCAATCTCTTATCTCCCTGGAGCCTGTGGGAGTTGGAGCAGTGCTTTTAAATCACATTTTCTTGTGCTTACCTTGAATTCAGAGTGCCTCTCTGTACTGCTGCTTTTGGCCCGTGTTCTATTGCCATCCTCAGGTTTTTGTGTTTGTTTCTCCCCTTGTTTATCCTGTGTGAGCTCAGAGCCCTTTGGAATGGCTGGGAATGAACCTGAGTGCAGCCCAACTTGAATTATGATGTTCTTTTCCTTTCCTTTTCAGCGTCCCTTGGCCCTGGGAGCTGATATTTGTATGTCTTCTGCAACCAAGTACATGAATGGTGAGTGTGAGAGTTGAGCACATCCTTAGGGCAGGGATGGAGGGAGACTGGGAGGGAATTCCTGGCTGGGAGGG